CATATTGACTCTAGTTTAGAGGCACCAAAAATAAATACACATTCACAATGTTGCACATATACCTCATAATTCTTGTAGTAACATATCAGTTTTGCTTTCTAAGATTCATCATGTATCTGCTCGCTAGGCTTACTGCCTGAGTAAATTCTCGGCGAGTGTGGATCATGGTGTGCGCTAAGCTACTTATGATACTATCATATGAAAAACGCTCCATAAATTCCTTCTCCGTAAAAATAGTTGGAGACATGTCCGCTAATAACATAAAGTGTGCAGCCAATAGAGTGGAGACATGCTTCACATCCTTCACTTTGAATCTATCTAATACTTTTTGAACATAGGTTATTTGAGAAGTATGCAAAAGCCCTTCTGATCTTGATCAACAAATCTCCATCCCAAGTATTTTTCATAATGCACCTAAATCCTTAACATCAAATTAAGATCTAAGATCTTTTAGCTGCTAAACCTCAGATTTCTCCTTCATCTACATGGAGTAAGAGGTACATAAATGGTGTATCTGATAGCTTTTATTTGAGTAACACAACTATTAAAAGCTCCTTCTAATAAAAATAATGCTAATCATGAACACATCAAACCTCTTATACCATTTATACCAAACCTATTTTAGCTTATACAACTTCTTTAATCAACAGATGATTCTTCTTACCTTCCACAACAAAATCCTCGGGTTAGATCATGTAGATTTTTTCTTCCAACTCGCCACTCAGAAAGACGATCTTTACATTTGACTGCTCAAACTTCAAATTATAAGAATCAATGATCCCGAGCAACATACGAATATATATGTGCTTCACAAATAGAGAAAAGACGTTAGTGAAGTTTAACACCAGGAATTTAACTTAATCGCTTTACCACTAATCGAGCTTTATAGATTGGTTCTTCATCCTTGAGGCACTATCCCTTTTCTTGTATACCCACTTGCATCAGATTGCCTATTTTTCCTTTTAAAAAATTTGTTATTTCCCAAGTTTAATTTTTGTGTAATGACTCAATCTTCTCTTCCATTGTTACAAGCCACTTTGTAGTATCCAAATTGGAGGCTGCATCATTGTAAGAGCACGGCTCGATAATAGTTTCAAATGCAGCAGTTAATGCATATGACACCACATTTTTCTCTCTATATCCCTTAAGAGAGCAAATCACCCTTCTCTCTATCTCTCTATCTCTGGGCAATGAATAAGAGGGCACAACAATAAAAGTCTCTTCATCAACTCTGTTCTGCTGAGGTGATGTTGCAGAAATAAAGTGCTCCTCCTCATTCTAAATACTATTTGATATAACTCACTCATCTCGAACAGGTTTGGGTGATGGTGATGTCTTTGGATATAGTAGAGTTTTTCCATCAAACACAACATTCCTGTTCTGGAATCTTTAGAACTTCAAACTTTGTAAACCTTTGCACCATTTTGTATGCTCTATCCCAATTATATACACTTCTTCGAGCTGTGATATAACTTTTCATCATTGATATGGGCGTAAGCTAGAAAACAAAAAAATTGTAAGTTAAAATAATTAGGAGGGTTATTAGACCAAATCACTTCAGAACACTTCAAATTTATAGCGGCATGAGGAGATCCATTGATCAAGTAGCATGTAGTAGAGGTAGCATCAAGTCAAATGCCTTTATCCAAAGTGGCTAAAAAAACATGCAACAAGTTCTTTCTAAAATGGTATGATTATACCTATCAGCAACACTACTTTGTTGACGCGTCATAGCACATCTACAGTAGCGAATGATGTCCTATGAATGGTAAAAATCATCAAATTGATATGAGCAAAACTCTAATCCATTATTTGTCTAAAGATACCTAATTTGTCGTCCAATCTATTTTTTCAATCATGGTCTTTCACTGCTTGAAGACTCCAAATATATCATATTTTTCTTTGATAAAGAATGACCAAATCTTCCTAGAATAATTATCAATAAAGAACAACATGATCTTGCACCTTTAGTGGATGACTCTCTTAATAGTCCTCATAAATCAAAGTGGATATAATAAAGTGATCCTTTAGTTTTGTGAACCAAGTGAATGAACAAGTTTTTTGCTTTCCCAAAACACAACTCGTAAAATTCTAAAGCACTAATTTATTGAACACATAGTACATCTCACTTGCTTAACATTTGAAGATTTTTTTTACTCGTATGGCTTATCCTCAAGTGCCACAACCTAATGACATTAGTGTTAGATATGAATGTTGAAGTAAGTGTTGAACCTTCAATGATAGAACCGTCCAAAGTAAAGGGGTTTTCTCTTGTCTTTCAATGACAGAACACTAATCGTCATCAAGCAAGATCAATTACACAACCAAAAGAAAAAAAAGATTTAATTGCGAAAACAAGTAAAAAAAAAAAAAAAGAAACGCGAGAGAGCTAGATTAAAACTTAATTAATCAAAAGAAGGTGATCAACAATAAAGCCAAATACCAAACCTCTCAACTTTTTACTTGATTCCTCATACTCAACCAACAACATGCCACAAGTATTTATAGAGTTACAAAAGAATATATATTTTATATAAATATATTTGGTATTAAATATATTAAGCAATAAATATATTTGATAATAAATTTCAAGATATTATTTTATATTAATTGCATTTTGTATTTTAGTGTCCTATTTGCAAAATGTACCCATTGAACTCACAACTGTATCTGTCCCGAGTTTGGTTGTGTTGTCATGCTAAATTCAGCCTTATGAACTTGCTTCTGTTGTCATTTTCTCAGGCGGATTTGCATCGGGAGTGTACATGTATTCAATGGTGTACTCTCAATTTTGTGATTACATTGTTGTGTATTCCTGCTTTGCACACTAAAATCTACTTATGAGCACTTAATTTTTTGTGTTGCAGAAACAATAAAACCACTATAACACTTTCGACTAAATTGTGGTTGGAATAAAAGCTTGGTCTTTCACTATAGTAGCATTACTTTAAGGGTCTATTTAGGGCAACTGTAATTTATTGAATAAGTAGTTGATCAGTTGCTTTTAGGATAAATTGTTGTTAGAAAAGTGTGTTCGTAATGCAGTGCGTCTGTTCAGTTGATCTGTTGTATTTTGGTTGTTTCTAAGAAAAAAACATTGTTATGCTTTATATATATATGTTGTAATTTCGTTGTTTAAGGAATAATCTTAAAAAAATAAAAGGTAAAATTTTCAACAGTTCAAAACAAAATTAGAAGTCAATTATTCTACTACTAGCTTAATTTAATACATCACTTAATACATAATTACATGATAGTAAAAAATTACAATAACAGATAATGCAATTATAAAATTATATTTAATGTCCAAACGATCGAATTTTCTTGATTTTTTTGTCCAAAGCTTCTCTTCAAATATGATCACTATCTGAAGAGGATTGCTTATTATCATCAACTAATCTAAAAATTTTACAGTCGTAAGTGTTCTATTCGTGGGACACCTATTAAATCTTCTCTCACATCTAACATTTCACCTTTAAGTATACTCGAAATTTTGTATACCACAATTGCAGTGCAAAACTCTAGAAGCATTTGAAATCCTTTAACTCATATTTCCTGAGAATCCAAATAATTAACAACATAATCCAATGCAAAACTTGAATGCAAAACCTAAATAATCCTTAGCATAACACCAATGATCACATGCAACCAACAGAAACCCAAATGACGGAAGACAGACAACAAAATCAATAGAATAATAAACACACTTATATAACAACAAACAGAGAAAAAATATAGCAAAACCAAATTATAGAAAATCAGAATTATACCAATTTGTCATCGCAAAACCAAAGCACACCTATCCCTAGCACCAATTTGCCATCACAAAATCAAAGAATTACAAAACCAATGGCCTAATTTCCGGCATAAATCAAACCAAATCATGCATAAAAGCCCTACCTTCAAAATCACATTTTAGCATAATCTTAGCAAAAATGAAAAGAAGAATGACAATAAGAAAATAAGTTTCGCTTTCAATACCTTCAGAAGAGACATGCAACCGAAAAGACAAAAACAATCGAAATAGCGAGAGGGAGAAACGAGGGAGGGTAATGCAGGGGCAATATGTCAAAACACAAGAAGAAAGATGGACCACAGGTAAAATATGTGGCACCAAATCACTCATATCCACATTTTATTAATGCCACCTCAAACAACAAAAGTTTGTGGCGCCGAAACGTACTACTCCGTAAATGTCATCCCAAACAGACCCTAAATTATCTATGCGGGGCGAATCCATGCTATGCTAAGAAATGAATCTATGACTTAACAATGTTAAAGTGCTCACAAATGCAAAAATGGTTTCAATTTAGAAGGAAAGAAAAGCATGGTGTAAAGTTTATGTTTTGGGGCATTTATATACCCAATAACTTTTATGTATTTATATATTAAAACTTGTTGAATCTTTTTAGAATGTCGGGTCCTGTTTTATTCGATAGCTCATACAACCCAAAGAAGACTTTTGACGAAAGTGGAAAAAGGGAATGAATATATGTTTCAAGGGATCTTGCTTCTATCCTTTTAAAGAAAGAGATCTTAAAGGAGATGTTTTGAAAGGAGAATTTTTAGTTCGATGAAGAGATGAGAGAGAAGAGAGAGAGAGAGAGACCACCCTTTAAGTGGGAGGCTATTCCTATTTATATCGATCGAGATGACTCCTCTCCACCATATGACACATAATGATTAAATATAAAATAATCTTAATATGTTATGAGGTCGCCCCAGGAAAACCTATGAATGATAATGATAATGTGGGTGGCAAAAATAAGCATGAATGTATGTTCTTTTTTTACTAATGACTTAGCATGAATGTATGTTCTTTTTTTACTAATGACTTATACTTCCATGTTCAGAAAAATCTGGCTCAAAAGGCCCACTAATATATGTTTTGGCCCATGAAATCGTTTGCGGGTATACAATATATATATAAAAGAAGAATTAAATATAATAGATGTTATGAAAATGATATATAAAAATACCTGATTTCTCACATCATTTTATATGTTTCTCTTGACTCTATTCTTCGGGTGTGATTCGCGAGCAAATTTGGGTTCAACATAACTATTCAATATTAATTAATTCATTAATCTTATTGCTGCATATCCTGTCCTATAAATTTACAAAAAAAATGAAAAAAAATATTGCCACATGAATCAAAATTATGGCTCTCACTTCCCGCTACCTCTTGTAAAAGTTCCTTCAGGTTGGATTTCTTCTCATTCTCATGATAGCACCAAAACGCTTAACATTTGCGAAAATAAGCTTACTTTGAACTACAAACAGCATATTTTCACTAACAATTAACATGTATAACAAATAATGGAAAACAATCCTTTCTCTCCTTCAACAAACGCTGCATGCATACTTTTTCAATTATGACTAGTTCCAATAGGTAGAGGTTCTGTAATTTTTGCAGAACTTCCTAACCACTGAAGCATGAACGGGTTCTTAAACCCTCAATGTCTGTTGATCCTGCCATGAAACTCTCCTCTTACCTGCCCAGCCCATCCTTCTATCTCTAAGAACCGAGAACACAGAATCATTAGCTAATACATCTTCTCTTTGCCTTGATAATTTCTTAAATATCTCCACATTCAAGAGCTTCTCTTTCACTTCAAACCTCTCCATTTCTTCACCAGTCTGAATAATCAGATAAAAGAAACAATTATAACATAAATATATTGAAAGTCATAAATGGAGTTTAATTAACCAACTGGATTTGAGGATTGCTGGCAAGAAAACCTGGTTCAAATCTAACAATGGAGTAGAAGTTGGAATAGGAACTTCTTTCATTTCTCGGTTCCTACTCTTCGAAGGAAGCTTAGTTTGAAACAATGGATTTTTAGGTTCAGTTATACAAACAGAAGCGGGAGGAAATGTGTGAGACTGGTTCCTTAATTTGGATTGAACAGTCTGAGCTGCTGAAAACTGATGGCATTTTTGTCGTAAGAATCTGCAGCATCAAGTGGTACATGATGGAAGTTAAAAGGTGAAATATTCACTAATGGTTTAATTGACATAGAAGCTGAAAGCGAACAGTAATGAAAAAGAGAGTAAGAAACTTACTTGACTTCAGCCAAGAGCTGGAGTTTCTTCTGCATTATCATTTTCAATCTCTCCCCTTTTTCCTTAGTTTCCTAAGAATATGAAAAAAATGTGCTCATTCAAAGTAGATCACAAATAGGTTATGTGATTCCTAAGATACTACAATATTGAATTGATATGCCTAAAAAACTGGAAAGAATTGCAGGAGGCTTTTCCAGAAAGTGAAAAGGTGATATAAGAAGCAGAAGTAATAAAAAAAATGGAAATTTTAACGCTAAATAGAAATTGAAACACTCAAAAATTAAAGAATCATCATATTTCCTAATCTGCAATTTAAAAAAATCTAGAAAAAATGAAACCATGGATCATACATCTCTAAATCATTTAAAACATCAGATCATGCAGAACAACACATATCAGACAGAACAAAATCTGATACTCTCCCTAGTTCTTCATAAAAAGGAAAAACCAGGAAATCAAAGCAAGAGTAAGTAAGCCATAGTCTCTCCTTAATCAGCGTAGCAGAAGAAAAACCATGAAAGAGAAGAAACCATGGATTTATAAAACAGATAAATCAGAACAATCAAACAAAACGGGTATTAATAGATTCACAATAAAAACCCAATGTCTAAGAAAAAGGTCTCACCTTGAACAACTCCTGATAATCCTGCAAGAGACAGTGGTACTTGAACCTCAACCTCGCCTCCTCCCCAATAAAGAAATAAGAAGTCGAAGCCGAAGAGAGCCCCTCAGAAACCCTAATCTTCTTCTTCATCCTTTTCCTAGTTTCAAAAGACAGCCGGAGGAAGAGGAACAAGAGGAACAAAAAAAGCTAGAGAAGCGGAAGAAGAAAGAACCAGATGGCTGAAGGGCCGCCGTGCAAGGATGACTAAGATAGATGGACAAGAAAAGAGGAAGAAAAGAAAGAGAAATTGGAAGTTACGAGGAGATAATGGAGAAATAGGGGTTGTGAGAGAGCTAAGGTTGCTTCCCCTGTTTTCTCTCTCTTTCTTCCCGCGTAGCATCTGAACGGGACAAACCGCCAAAGAGCCCCAAAAGCCGGGAATAGCAGACCAGTCGTGATCGATGGCATAAGAGAAAGATGACATTTTTGCCTGTATTTCTGGCACCCACTTCGCAGCTAACTTTCTCTCATAGCTTCCTTCTTCCAAAGTTCCCTCCTTTATTTTCTCATAACTTCCCATTAGCAAGTTCCCTCCTTTCAAATTCGATTTTTTTCTCACTCGAATTTTCTGGTCCTTCACCTTCGTTTGGTCCACCTGGGCCACGTTAGAGAGAGAATGATATGTATCAAACATCAATTAAGAGCGAGAAAAATGTAGAGAGAAGGGGGGATTATGCTGTGAAAATGTGAGACAGAGATTAATAATGGCTAAGTTTCCGTGAAGCCGGGTTGTGGTGGTGACCACACCTTGAAAATATGGTGATGGTAGCCGCTGGGATGAGACTTTTATTTCCACATTTATGTAATACTTGTCTAAAATCTTACTGAAAATTTGAATATGATCATGAATAAGATGACAAGTGCATGAAACAACATTAATACGTAGGAAAAAAAGAGTTTAATAAAATATATCCCTAGAATTATTTTATAGAATAATATTGTATTCAATCTTTTCGAGTAGTTTTTATTGTTTATTTTGACATAAAAATATGTATTGTCTGAGGTTTATTTCTAGGGCTGATCTCTTCGAGTAGTTTTTATTGTTTGTTTTGACATAAATTTATTTCTAGGGCTGTCAAAACGGCTGGTTGTTTGCGAACAGCTCGTGTTCAGCTCGTTCGCTAAGTTATCGAGCCGAACACGAACAAAGATTTGTTCTTTCGTGTTTGGTTTGTTTTGGCTCGAAATACCACTCATCAATTATATATATATATATATAATTTAATTGGCATTTATAATCAATTAAAAGTATTAATTAAGAAAATAGAATAAAAATTATTAAATTACATTCAAGTGAAATTTTAATATAAATAATAATTTTAAATATTGTCTCAATCATTAACATCTTATGACTGCGTGATTAGGGTTGTCAAAAGGACTCTTTGTTCGTTTACAGCTCGTGTTCGGCTCGCTAAGCAAATGAGTCAAACATGAACACACTTTTTGAGCTCGAAATATAAACGAGCCGAACATGAGCTGAGTCTGGGCTCCCTC